TAGATATACAGACCAGATCTCTGAGGAGCTCGGTGGAGCCCTCCTCGGCAACAGGCCACGCCCCCCGGACGAAAATCAAAGTTCTTGACAGAATCTGTGGAACACCTTCCCTGGTTCTTTAGAGATTAATAATTTATTGGTATTTTGAGATTATATGGAAATGATTATATGGAAAGAAAATGTTTAGAAAAGTGCTATTCTGTTTTATTTTAAAATAATGTGGGTATACAAAACATTTAAAAGAGGTATTTTGTAGAAACTGCTTTCCCTAATTATTTATACAGCCTTAAAGCGATACAATTTTCAAAATGCTATGAAGGCTCTCCTGGGTTCTTTTTTAAAATCTTGTCATGCACAGTCACTTTGCTTTACTGATGTTTCCCACAAGGGGCAACTGTTGAAACAGCTGTGCAAGCCTTCCACTGGTTATTTTAATACATTTAAGATAAATACTTTGCTCATTCTAACACTTTTGTAAAAGTTCCTATTTCAGATGATTTGCACTTCCCTAAAAAATGTGTGCGGCAACTAACTAGATTGACAACCTTATTAGGCCATAATATAGTCCATTTCATTTTATCTGTCTGTGTTCTGTAAATTCAGTCAATTGTGATTTACTCAATAATCCATGTTTGCAAAGGATGATTTTATTATTTTAGTTCTTTATTTATTCAGTTTGTTTAGCTACCCATCTCAGACCAATGACTGGCCAGCAAATAATCATAAAAACAATTGTCCTAAAGGTGCTTTTTCAAGAGGCAACTGGAATTCCTTTGTTTTTCTTTGAAGATGTTTTGCTCCTCATCTGAGAAGCTTCTTCAATTCCAGAACTTTAAAAAAATGAAAGTCATTAAGGAAAAACAAAGAAAGTCCAGTTTGCTTCTTGAAAAAAATACTTTTGGGACAACCATGAACTGAGAGTCTCCATTGACCTAACAACAGTTAAAACACAATACAGGGCGGAAAAAGTACAAATAGCAGCTGAGAGTTATTATAATCCACCAGTAGAGAGATCTATGAAGTCCAATAGCTATCCCAATTTAGACATGTTGTTTGGAAACTCAGTTATGGCATTAGTTCTAAACTGTATAGCAAATTATGTTTTAGTGGAATTTCTTGCTTTATTTTCTGTTTTGTACCTTTTGTACCTTTTTTTGAGGAGCTTTGGCTTTTAAAGGCCAATAGATAACTCAAACCTCTCAAATCATTGCTAGGCTATTTGAAATGGTTATGTGTTGCCTCTTGGGCAACCTTTTAGCAAATCTGAACAGTTTTTTTCCCTTTCAGTAAGCAGTAGTCCCTAGTTTTTGCCAACTTGACATGTGTTCCTCATTAAATAAAATATTGGATACCTGCAGTTCAGTAATGGTATCCTCTTTTCTTCACTACCAGTTTGGTAGCGGGAGCGCGCAGCATGCACAGAAGGTCCATGATGATGCAGCCTCTTACCACTACCGATTTGCCCAACCGGTGTGAACCGGTAGAATACCACCACTGCTGCAGCTATTCCAGATGCAGTATTTCACAAATTTTCTTTGAAACAAGTATATCTCTACATTGCTCCTATATGCCTGAATGCAAAGTTTCTGAAATCAGAATCTGCCTATTTAGGGAATAGATATGTAAATATATTAGCACACAATCATACATACATAGTACACAATATATTATTAGTAATATTCCTGTTGAGGTGAAAGGTTTCCACTAATGTGAAAAGAAAAGGATCAAAGTTATTATATCATTTATTTTATATAAATATATCTATCAAATATAAAATTGTTTCGTTAATGTTAGTAGATACCTATATATATGTATGTATGTATGTATGTGTATATATATGTATGTATGTATATGTATGTATGTATGTATGTATGTTTTCAAAATAGCTTATATTTGCATTTAAGAGTCTAGTAAAAAATATCAACTGTACTTTTTTTCTTTGCTATTTTTTCACTGTTCAAAGATTCTGAAACAGATTTATTTCTTCCCCTTTAGGAAAACTTGGGATCTATGATGCTGATGGTGATGGTGATTTTGATATGGAAGATGCCAAGGTTTTACTAGGCAAGTAGATATTTTTAAAATGCCATTCAAAAATGCAACATTCAAATAGAAAGTATAATGCATTGTAAAGTTATCCAGAATCTTAACAGTATTAGTAAAGTTCTGTGATACCAACAATGTATTGCTATCGCAGAAGAATTAGTCTTTGATGTTTATTTTTATTTATTTATTTTATTATATATATTTATATGCCGCCCAATCCGAAGGACTCCGGGCGGCTTACAAAAAATATGAAAAAAACCCACATAACAAGAAAAGAAACAGTTTAAAAACAGCAATACCCTCATACATTCATTCTAATCGGGGCTGGACCTCAACAGTGAATTTATGTTGAATTTATATTTTCATCTATAATACTAAAATATATATTTTGTGGAGGTTGCTTATTTTATATGCATTTATTTTGTTTTTGTTTCTTTTTGAAATAAATGGACTGTGAAAACGATGATAACGCTTGGCCTGAGGCCAATTTCTCCCTCTCAATCCCTTAATTCATTAAGTAGCCTTCAAGTTACAAAGACTTTTGGTAGGGTAAAGGAAACAAAAAGGATGCTGTCAGTTCTTCAGCAACCACATTTATTGTCACTTATACTTCCTAGCAGCATGGTGCCTCCCATTCAAAAGGTTGAGAGTTTAATCCTAGATAGCAGGATATATTTCTTAGGGTGCAAAGAAAAAAATATCTGCATTTACTGGCCATATGCCAGTCCGCCTAGGCATCACGACAGCCCTCCAGCCAGTAAATGCTTAGCTCCAATCAGTCACCCCAACTCTATCACAAATTAAGGGATTATAGGATCATAAAAAGAAAAGAAATTCTTCCTGGCATGTAAGAGTTACTGAATGATTCTCTTTCATTGCTCTTGGTCACAATGAAGTATATTCAAAATAAAGGGCTCCCTGAATTTTGAAATTGACATTAGTATTGACCAAGAATTAGATCATGCTTAAGATAGAGCTGTTAAAATGAACTGCTTAATTATCTACTTAATTTACCTGTTCCATTGATTACAGAAGTCTTAATACAATACTATAATACAATAGCAGATTGGAAGGGACCTTGAAGGTCTTCTAGTCCAACCCCCTGCCTAGGCAGGAAACCCTATACCAGCGATGGCAAACCTTTTTTGGCTCATGTGCCATAAGGGAGGGGAGCGCAGGGCGGTCGTGTGCGGGCATGCCACACCCATTATGCAATGCATGACCCCCCCAGTGCGCATGGGTGCATGAGAGGTGCCCCCCCCTTTTTCCATGCTTTTTTCGCCCTCTCCAGGCTCCAGAGGCTTTATAGGAGCCTGGGGAGGTGAAAACAGCCTTCCCCCCCCGAGGCCCCCCGAGGCTTCAAGGACCTTCAGGAATGCCCAGTGTTCAAGTTTGTCAAGATCCTTCTGTATCTTAAGATCCTTCTGTATCTTCTCAGAACATAATTATATTTGATCCAAGCTGTTGCCCTGCCTTTCTGAAAATATATATCTAGTAGCCTTATAATCTGAATCTCTATTATGAAGTACTAAAGTATTAAGAACTATAAATGAAAAGGCAAAATATTTGCAGTGAATATATACTTTGACCTATTTTTGTTCTCCTGAGAAAAATCTATCCATGTGGTTGTTAAGCATCAGCACCAACTTGACAGGGCATGATACCAGTCTATTTTTATCATATATAGTGACATGCTCAGTACTCTTCATAATCTGATTTACTTCTGTAATCTATGGGAAAGGGGGACATAAAAATTATTTGCTGTCATGGTTTAAGTCCTTTTGTTTTCCACTAACAATAAAGAAAAAAATAATAGAAAATAATTTAATCAGGTAGTTAATTATTTAACTAGTTCAAAATGTTTCAGAATTGGAAAGTATCGTGCTCAAAACATCCTATTCCAAATAGCTGTTTTGACATTATCAATGCTGTTTTTATGTTATAGTCATTCTAGAAATATTCAGAACTCAAAATATTTTTAGAAGGGTAAATAAGTTTGGCTTAACCTTTTGGATTCAGAACGTTTTGCATATCCTATTGAAGAGGCATAATATCTAAAATGAAGTTTTCCTGCAAGCAATTTCAGTCCCCACAATAGTTTCCTAACTTTAATGGTGGTGGGGAGAGGGCAGAGTTGTCAGTACTAGCTTAGCATAGGTATCAGTAAATTGTAGGGGGCTAAAAGTAGGAGGCTGAAACAGAAACATTCTAGCTGTGCTTGGTAGGGGTAAACAGCAAGCACCTAGACACCCATGTACCTATGACATCACTGATTTATGTTTATATATCTTGGCATATTTTTGCAAAATCAGACATACTATTATGCGACATCACTTGTTGATATCCAGCACTTGAAAATGATGTGAAGGATTATACATTTTATGTTATGCTCATGTTTTGTTTGACTGTCAACTATATGCTACTCTTAGGCTAAGATACCCATCCCCATCTGATAGAACTTCAGAGCCCATTGGGATCTAAATTGTAGATTGTTCTATTTCCTCCTACATTGTGAAAGAAAGTTTATAGTTAAGGCAGTTGAGCTAAAAACCCATTATGTTCAACAGAATTGGCGTATCCTATAAAGATAATGTATTTTTCTGAATACTAATTCTTTGTATTTACCACATATGTATTTTGTTATTGTATTTTCTGTTACCTATTTTATCCAAGAATTAGATCCTGTATTTTATTTTTTGATATGGTTCAAATTAATAAACAATTAAACTAAACAATTAATAAATTGTTTTATAATTATATGTTAGATGAAGTTACTTGCCTGTATCTTGAAGTTCAAAGGACTTCAAATCCGAGTTTCCTCATTTATAAATAATACAAGACATTGTAATCTCTTAATTTTAAAAACCTAACTCCATAATATTATTATACAATTCTTCTGTATTATTCACTAAAAACAGGAAAAAAATAACAGCTTTGTGGGCACTTTATGTTTAATATCATGAAAGCATGTCCCATTGGGACAACCGTAAGCTAGATGATTGAGAATCTTCATAGACATCATGCAGACATGTATTACATTCCCAAATATTATTCTAACAGTTCTCATACTTCACTCTTTGCCTTTGCACAAATCAGTGAATTATCTGTAAGGACAACACATGGAGGTCATAGCATCAGTTTTTAGAAATCTTAATTTTTCCTCAGAGCAAGTAGTTTCAGTTTTTCCCCTAGGCAACTAAATTTCAAATATGACCAATAAGGTTGTTAAATTTTAACAATAGCTATGACTTACAGAAATCCTCTGGTGCTTTCCTTATACTATTAATTGCTTCAGGTTTTATATATTTTATTTTATTGTTTTATGTTGTTGCTTTATATCTTATGTGTTTTATGTCTTTTAAATATTGATCATGGATTGTAAATAAATGAATATATTTCACCTGCAGCTTGACAGAGATGGGATTTCCATTACTTTTCCTTAAGTGGCAAAGTAATATATAAGCTTTACAAGAAATACACCATTCCAATTTCTGTAAATCTGTATATAGAAAAATGCCCGTGTGTGTGTTCCAGCATCACTCTGGAATGCCTCGAGCAATTTCAACCAAACTTGGTACACAGATGACTTACTCTATAGAAACAAATACTATGGGGGCTCCCTCTGGTAAGAGAGAAAATCCAACATTAGAAATTATGTTTGGTGTGGACATTTCCCCCCTATAATTACATACCTGGGCAATGCCAGGTTATCAACTAGTTGCTTATAATCCTCAACTTATGTTATAATGGACCCTGCCCATTACAGTCATAGGCCATGATGATCATAAAGCAGATTATCACATGATTTACATGACTTCACAACCTTTTTATAATGACAATTGTTAAATGAAACACCATAGTTGTTAAGAGACTCCATTGTTCACTATGGCTCATTTTGCCAAAAATCAGAAGTAAATATGGATGGATTGATGGATGGATGGATCGGAAGAAGAGAGGAAGCAAGCAAGCCTTTCTGGCTCTGTCAGTCAGCTTCCGACTAAGCAAAGTCAGTGAAGAAACCAGCAGGCAGTTGGGTGTTGATCTTGCTTCCACTATTTTTTTCTCTCTGTTTATGTAAGGAAATCTCTCTAAAATATCTTAATGGGTCATGGGTTATTTAGGTTAGTCATGAAAACCATGACTAAAAGAACAGAAAGATTAGTGGTCCAATTTTGGGACTCTGTGTGAAATTGATTATCCTAATATTTCTCAAACACTTTATTTCATTATCCAAAATGCTTACCAGAAATTCGCTTTTACCCAATGCAAGTAAAACATTGCTAGAACAACAGATAGATATAAGGATAACTTTGTGATTTCTGGTGTGCCAGTTTTAGTCCTGCCTAATGCAGAGAACCTGGCTATAGTAATCTATGCTCTTATTAATATGCATTTTACCTAGGTCCACCCTCATAGTTTATTCCAAAATTGCAAATGTCTAAAATGTGGCAGCTTGCCTACTGGATGGCTCCTGCAGTGAGAGCATATTAATATCATCACCTCATTTCTGCCTCCCCCCACCCCCTGGTCCTCAAAACTGAAAATGCACTGATGATATTACCTAGTTTGCAGAATGAAATGTCTGCAAGAAAACAAGCTCAGAGAGCATCAAGGACCCGTCAGATAGCAGAATTTTTTTTAAAAATGAGAGAAATATGATGTCGCACTGGGGGAAGGGGGGGAAACAATAGCAGATAAAAGTTGTAGATGCTATACTATTTTAGACCTACAGCAATATTAGCAAATGATTTGCACCTGATTATATATCCAAAGCTAAGAACTGAAATATTAAACTGCTGAGTTCCTAGAAAAAACAAAATATTAAATTAGCAGAATAAATAAATAGCCATTTTAACACCTGTTTTAAAATGAAAATGACAAATAATTAGAATTGGAGGCCAGCTATTTAATTTGTAATTAATTAATTGGTGGAAAACATGTTTATGACAGAATAATTAAAAATAGAGCACTCGCTCATGGAAAGTAATATTATTTTAGGGGGTAGTCTGTAGGCTGTACAAATGTTATATATTTATGAAAATATATATGAAATAATATAGATCATAAATATGGTTCTAAAAGTTTAACTTCGTATAATAATAATAATAATAATAATAATAATAATAATAATAATAATAATAATA